AAGATGAGTGACTAGATAACCTCAGGTTATTTCCTTTGAACATAGCAGGTTGAAGGTGTACCTGATAAAGGTGTAGAAGATAATAGGGGGCATAGACAGGGTGACGAGAAAGCATTTGCTCTCCTTAGTTGAAGAATCAATAACAAGGCATAATATTAAAAGGAAAAGCAGGAGATTTGGAGGGGCTTTGAGGAAAAACATTTTTATTCAGAGGGTCAAGGGGCTCTGGAAAACACTGCCTGGGAAGGTAGCTGAAGCAAGAAACCGCACATCCCTGAAAATGTACTTGAATGCACACTTGAAATGCCATAACATTCAAGGCTATGGGCCTAGAGCAGGGAAGTGGGACACGTGTAGGTAGTGGTTTATTTTTTAGTGGTACTGACTCAAAAGGCCTAATGGCCTCTTCTGTACTGTATGATTCTATGACTGCATCAATGTCAGCCCTAGATGACTGTAGTTACCCAGGGAGGGGAAATGTTCCACATTTGGGTGGATTTCTCAGTTGATTTTCATGGAGCAACCAACCAGAATTTGGCCTTGGACAGGCTGGTAAAGGATTTGGATCTTCTTGAGGTTCAGGCATGGACCAATTCTTCGGTATGCTTCCACAACAGCATTAAACAAGCCTCGAAGATTCTCTTCCAAGAGTGCAAAGACGACAATGTCATCTACATACCAAAGTTAGACAAGCGAGATTGGATTTTAACCAGTTAAGCTTAAAATGTTTTCCACCCCATCCTGCAGACAATGGCCACATCACTGGGAAGCTTGTTCTTAACAAGATCAAGAATGGTAACAACGACACATCCCAAATGACCCTTGTCTTGACATCAAAGGCTTCTGTTATATTAATGTCGCCAACATCATGTCCCGGAGGATGTTGATAAATTTCTCCGAAAAGGTCTTCCATTGCAGTTCCCAATTTCTGAGTCAAAAGCCTTGATCAGATCGATGAAGACCCTGCAGAGTGGTCGGCGTTGTTCTTGGCATTTTTCTTGGAGTTGCCAACAGTAAAAATTGAGTTGGACAATCAGTCATGATCATACTGAATGGTGGAACAGACTCATAATCAATAGCATCCTGTTCCTGACCCTATTTTCTACATTTTTATACAGAGAATTCCAGACATTCAGCGGGGTTCTGGGAGAGGTTCTTTCACATCCGAGTCTTGTATGAGTGTCATTTAGACTGTAATTACGTCCCCAATTTTTTTTAATACATTCAAGCAATGAGGATGTAGCTGGCTTTAACACAGGGAAGTTGAGAGTCAACCATATTGCTATGTGTCTACAGTCACATGTAGTCCAGACTAAGTAATGATGACAGTTTCCTTCTCTAAAGGACATTCGAACATAGAACATTGAATTGTATAGCACAGGAATGGGCTCTTCGGCGCACATCAAATTAAACTAGTCCCTTCTGCCTGCCTTTAGTCCATTTCCATCCATTTGTTGCATAATCTTGCGCTTATCCAAAGACCCCTTAAAGGCCCCTATCGTATCTGCCTCCACCACCAGCCTTGGCTATGAGTTCCAGACTCTTACCACGCACTGTGTAAAAAAAAAATTACTCCTCACATCTTCTTTGAACTTTTCTCCTCTCACCTTAAATGCATGCCCCCTTGTTTTAGAAATTTCAACTCTGGGAAAGAGATTCTGACAGTCAAACCTATCTGTGCATCTCATAATAATAAAGACTTTTATTAAGTCTCCTCTTAGCCTCCGCTGCTCCAGAGAAAACAGCCCGCATTTTTCTAACCTCTCCTGATAGCTCAAAACCTCTCATCCAGGCAGCATCTGGTAAACTTCTTCTGCAACCTCTCTGAAACCTCCACATCCTTCCTGCATTGTTGCAACCAGAACTGAGCGCAATACTCTAAGTGCTGCCTGACCAAAGTCTTATAAAGGTGCAACATGACATCCTGATTCTTCTACTCAATTCCCCGACCATGCCAAACGTCTTCTTTACCACCCTATCCACTTGTGTGGCCATTTTCAGGGATCTATGAACTTGAACCCCAAAATCCCTCTGTACATCAATGCTGCTCAGTGTCCTGCCCTTAACTGTATACTTTTCCTTAATATTTGATCTCCCAAAGTGCAGCACCTCACACTTCCCCAGATTAAACACCATCTGCCATCTCTCCACCCGTATCTGCAACCGACCTATATCCCGCGGTATCCTTTGACAACATTCTACACTATCCACAATTTCATGTATCTTTGCATCATCTGCAGACTTACTAACTCACCCATCCACATTTACATCCAAGTTATTTATATATATCGTAATCAGCAGAGGTCCCATTGTGTATCCCTGCAGTACACCACATGTCTTCCATGGGTAAGCCAATTCTGAATCCACACGGCCAAGTCACTGTGGATCCCATGCATCTTAATCTTCTGGATGAGCCTACCATGAGGGACCTTGTCGAAAGCCTTACTAAAATCCATGTAAACAACATCCACTGCTCTACCCTCATGGATCACCTTCGTCACCTCCTTGAAAAAAAATCAAGTTGGTAAGATCTGACCTGCCCTGCACAAAGCCATGCTGACTGCCCCTAGCTAGGTCATGTTTTTCCAAATGCATTAACGACCCAGATTGTTTTTTTCTGACAATCGACATTGGTATCATGGCCATCACTAGAATTTTAATTCCAGATCTTAATTGAATCCAAATTCCATCACCTGCCACAGTGGGATTCAAACCCGGGTCCACAGAACATTATCTGGGTCTCTGGATTAACAGTCGTGCAGTGATATCACTAGGCCATCGCTTCCCCAAGATTCCCCCACAAGTGGGAACATCTTCTTAACACCTACTTTGTCAACAGCATCCCGTGTAATTTTTTTTTAACCTGTTTTGTGGGCCCCCGAGGACCATATACGGTATGGAACTTCAGGAACCAGAAATCAACAGCAGAGCAGCTGCGTGTGTCAAGCACCCTCAAAAACTTGCCTGTTTCAATAAGATCACCTCTCATTCTTCAAAACTGACCTGTTTAGTTGTTCTTGATAAGTGAACGCCCTCATCCCAAGAATCAGTCCAGTGATTCTCTTTTGAATTGGTTCCAATGCCATTACATGCTTGCTTAAATATAGCTACTAAACTTGTACAAAGTACTGCAGGTTTGCTCTCACCAACACCCTGCACTGTTGTTAACAAGACTACCCTATTTTTCAACAAAAGCCTCTAGTAATAAAGGGAGAAGTTCCATTTACCTTCTTAATTACTTGCTTGCATAAGTAGGTTCATTTCTGTTTGGCAGAAACTGTGGGTGAAGTACAACAGGTTGGATTTAAATGAGCCCTCTACATCTGTATTCCCGATAGAGAAGAATGACACAGGTACAGAAATCAGAAAAGAGGACTATGGCATTCTTGAAGAATTGTGAAGGAGATACGAGCAGCTTTAGCAAGCTTAAAATTAGGTATGTCCCCATGGCGAGAAAAGATGGATCCCAGCTGCTGTGGGAGACAAGAAAGGAGAGTACAAGGGTGCTGCCATTAATTTTCAAATCTGCTTTAGATAGAGGAGAGGTGCCAGAATAATGGAGGACAGCTAATGTGGTATCACTATGAAAGAAGAGTGGTAGGGATAATCCAGGGAACCATTGGCCAGTGAGTCTGACATCAGTGACAGGGAAACTATTGGAAGAAATTCCGAGCGACAAAATTAATCTCCACTTCAAGATACAAGAAATAATCCAGGATAGTCAGCATTGCTTTCTCAGAAAGAGAGATAATGTCTAACAGGTATGACTATGTTTCATGGAGGTGACTAGATATATGGGTGAGCATCATGCAGTGGGAGTAATTTGCATGAATATTAGACTTTTGACAAGATCCCACATAGGAGATGGTCCAAAAGACACCATGGGATCCATGGCAATTTGGTAAATTGGACTCCAAACTGGCTTAGTGACAAAAGGCCAAAGGGGTGGTCAAAGGTTTTTAATGACTGGAAGCCTGGGTCCAGTTGCAAACTGCAAGGTCTGGTCCTGGATCTCGTGCTGTTTGTTGCATACAGTAATCACATTACCACCATCACATTACTTTTTATCAATCACATTAATCATTATTATTATCATGCTACTATCACATTCTTGTTGCCCTCACCTTGCTATTGCCCAATGCTATTCCTGCCGCCCTCACCTTGCTATTACTCACATAATTATTACTCAGATTATTCCTATCAGATTATTCGTCTTCATCTCACACCACCCCGGCGCCTTTCCCATCGCCGGTGCTCTCTCGTCACCCCAGCGCCTTTCCCATCGCCGGTGCTCTCTCGTCACCCCGGCGCCCTTCCATTATTAGTACACTCACATTACTCCTGTTACTTTCCCACTATCAGTACTCTCACATTACCCCTGTGACTTTCCCTTTACTAGTACTCTTACATTACTCTCATTACTTTCCCATTACTAATACTCTCAGATTACTCCTGTTACTTTCCCACCATCAGTAC